CACTACTCATCTCATTTTGAGATTCTCCTTTTGACACTACTCATCTCATTACTTATTTTGGAGAAGGAAAGGCAAAAGTACCCTTTCTTTTCCACTGTCTCACAAATGACACAGTGGTCCTGAGCGATTCCCAGGCTTGGTGCCCCTTATGTGTACAACACTTTACAGTTTACAGATGCGTTCACAGTCTTAACTTCCTTTGATCTTCCCCCAGATGCTGTCCGGATAACAGGAAAAACATCGTTATCACATTCCCCATTTCACCAGAGAAAACCGAGGCTCGGCATTGGACTTTGAGTTGTCTCCTCTCACCAAATCAAGCACAAAATCAGACAAAGATACTCTACCTGCTTCGGGCTCTGTGCTGTGCATTTCATTTACAGACAGGCCTGTTGGTGGACTTTTACTCCCAAATAATGCAGTTGGGATGGGAACCGTAGCTCAGGGGATGTGAAAAATGAAAAAATGAAAAGCGCCCAAGTCTAGACTGACGCAACCAGAAGGCAAGTGAAGCAAGACGGTCCATTTTGACTCTCCCCAAATCCGCAGTCTTCACCCAAGCTGTTCTAGATCTATTTGTTGACAGAAGTTCCAGAAAACAGAGAGACATGGCCGCTCTTTGTTTGCACGACAGAAAGAATTTATCCTGTGTAATAATTCCTGCCATGGCTGGAATCTGGGGTTAAAATCTCCTCCCATTTGGAGCTGCCCAGTGGCTTTTCTGGGATATATGTGTTCGGTGTGGGAGGGCAGATGGGGACTCCTTCCCTAAGCCCCAGTTTTTCATGCCTGAAACCACAGACTTCTTTGCAGGAATTCCTGGGACCCTGGAAAGGACTTCTTTTTCCAGTTCGAACTACTGGAGGATTTGGGCTGCTTTTCTAGGTCATGCCTAAGCCCAAAGACAGAGAGACAGAGACAGAGAAAATCCATCCCTTTGGGGAGTTCTGAACAGCTGCCTGATTCGTTGTTTGCTGATAGTCAGTAGTCCTTCAGAAGCACCACTCAGGTCTGAGAGACGCTCAGCTTTCCTATGTCCCGTGGCCACAGCCCACCTAGAAAGCCGGGTCTGGGGGATGCAGGAATCTACAACACTCCGGCTGCCCCTGATGTGATCCTCGAGGAGAGATTTGCCAGGTGGATGCCAATACAGACCGCCTGAGCGCCTGACCCCACAGTGGCCAATAACAGAGACAGCTAGTGCAGAAGAACCAGGGAGAAAGATCAGCTGCTGGGGCGGGGGGGGCAGTCTGGGGCTCCCTGGGCAGGTGCAGGTCGGCTGCCCACACGTTCCCTGGGCGTCAGTGACGTCACCGCGCCACTTCTCAAACATCAAGAGGGAGGTCAAGACTGAGCACAACAAAACTCACCTCTTATTTTCAGTTCCAAAAGCCCCTGAAGGCTGGAACACTGCAATGCCCCCAGTTTTTACCCCTTGGCGAAAACCATACTAGCAGGTTTAGAAAATCTCTTATTGTCTGTAGAAACTGTGAAAGAACGTCCAGTTGGTGGCTATTTCTAAATGGGCTCCTACGCTACGGAGGCAGCCTCCAGAGACCTCGAAGCTGCCACATGCCAATTAGGAACTGACCAGAAGCACATTTCTTAATCGTCTGAAGAAGTAAGAACTGATACAAAGGTTCCAATCAAACCCTCAACAGTTAAGCATCAGTCGGTAAAGCCTCCACAATGCAAGGCGCTCCTGTAGCTCTTCTCCCACTTGAGGTTGCTGGCCCCTCCCCCTGCCCCCACCCCCCCGCCTGTGGGGACCAGGACAGGGAGGGAGGAAGAAAGTGTGAGTCCTCGTTGATCCTCCCCCCCCCCCCGGGCTGCTGTGTGCCTCCAACAAGAGCTGGAGTCCATCAGCTCCACACCGCTCTGCAAAGGCTCGTTATCAGCAGTGCATGCTTCTGTCCACTTCCACGCCCAGACTGGAATGTCTTCTCTCATCTCCCCAGCCTGGGTGAACCACCTCTATAACGTCGTGTTCCTCTCCAGCACAGCGCTGTTCTCATTGCATCATCACTGTTCCCCCACCCGAGGGAAGACAGCATCACGTACTGATCCTCTGAGCCACAGCGCCCGGGAAGGGTGGGAGCACGAGGTGTTTGACAAAGACAAAGGTGAAGGAAAGAGCAAAGGAAACATGGAAACGTGAAGGGACCCTCCTGTTTCCTAGTCCAGGGGGGTCGAGTGGGTCAGTCTGAGCTTCCCAAGCCCGGGAGCCTTGTTCTCATCAGCCTTGGTCCCTGGAGATCCAGCCACCCTTCACTGGGGAAGGCCCTCGGGCATCAACATCACCGTGGAAAAGGGGCTTGTTCCTGCAAACTCCCTCACGTTCACAACATGGAGACAGATTACTCTCCAGGGGTATCCCTTTCTGTTTTAGTCAATCTGGGGGCTCTGCTGGAAATCCAGCAGGTGAACAGGACTAGGTAAGGTTGTTGGGATGGAAGACAACCTTGGCATTGACTTAAGATAGTGGTGTGCTGGAGTCAGCTCAGAGTGGGGGTAGAGAGAGACGGGGACAGAGAGAGAGAGAGAGAGAGAGAGATTTGGCAGATTCCCAGGAATTTTGCTAGGCAGTTGATGTCATGGTGATATCTTGACATTGACTGCGGTAGGCAGTATTGACCCCACAAAAACTGGTCACTGCTCTGAGACCTTTTCTTTCCTTCCAGAGAGCTGGTTGTTCAATATTTGCCAACACACCCTTGACTTGAGGTTGCATTCAAGGGTCGGACTCACAATATCACTGGTGCTTTCTAAACTGTACTCTTTTCTCCTCCTCCCAAGGTGCTTTTGAATTCTGCCCCATCTGCTCTTTGTGTGTACTTCTGGAGAAATTCTAGTCTTACGTTCACAGAGGTCAAAGCAATCGATTGTTGATTTATACAAAGCCTTTGCATTGTTTGAAGTGATTTCACACACAGTTCCTCATTTTGATCTGTCCCACAAACCCTGAGAAAGGCAGAGTTCATACTCTTATTTCCAATCTGCGGATGGGAAACCTATGGTTCTGAGCGGATGCATGGGAACGGTGGGGCAAGGTGAGGGAGAGGACCCGGCCGGGGATTTTCCCACCACTTTGGTGGCTCCTGAAGTCGCTAGACAAAGCAGCCACTATTCCTAGGACAGACTGTGGCCAGGGAGAGCCAAACTGCAGTGCGAGCAGAAACAGCTTTTATGTGGTTTGGGGCTGCATTCTGTGATTCTTTATGTAGAAGCAAATTGTCCTTTTAATTATTGTGTGGGATGCACTAAAGTAGAGGCACATTCCTTGAGCCACGGGCAGCAGCCAGAATGGCCCAGGTGTTCTGCCTGAAGATCGGCCAAGTTTCAAACTTGATGCTTATAATTGGGAGTGGTATGGGTTTCTACGCAGAAAGTTTTGTTTTTTCTACTAAGCCTTTGGAATATTGTAAGTGGGGAGCAAAATGGACTCCCCACGCCATTCACAGCAGATGCGATCCTGAGAAAGAGTTGGGGATAAGGTGGTGGGCAACAGGGAGCAGCGACTGAGACATTAAGGGACCCAATCCTGCCCCCCCTGGATCCATCTCAGCTCTGGAAACATTGTCACTGTTGCCAAAGGGTAAGCTCACTTGGTTGAATGGCTGGGACTTATTTTTTTGAAAACACCCTCCCATATTCTCATGTAAGTTTGATGCAGGGAAGCGTGATAGTCTACATAGCATGGGGGTTTCCAGACAAGCAAAGCAAAGAAAAAGTCAGCCCCCTATCATGTATTCCTCTTTGTCCTTCCACCTTAGGGCCCCAGTGATCCTTGTGCACTTGCTGCTGCACACGAATGACCTCCCAGCGAGGTGTGATCTCACTCTCCTGGAGGACAGGTGAGCCCCACAAGTCCTAGAGCAGGTGCAGCTGTCTTCTCAGGGTCCCTTCCCTTCTTTTTTTTCAATGTCACTCAACTTGTTCATTAGGAAACTTCTGTTCCTTCTTGTCATGCTGTATTTGTGGGACTGAGAGCCAGTCTTGGTGGAACTTTTAAGTGACATCTTCTCTCGTCTCTTGGCCAAAAGGAGAGATGGGTCAAGAGACCCCTGACCCATTTCCATCACTCAGACTCTTGCAGAAATTCTGAATGCCATTCCACAGGGGGGATCGATGGGCATTCGCTTTTCCCGGGGGCTGAGACAGGAGGTGCCCACCCACAGGTTCCTGAAACCTTGGTCTGCCAGGCTGCCATGGATCCTGGCTTATTTGTGGACTGACTATCCTTCCTGTGAACTCACTTGTACTTTTCCAATAAATTCTTTTTTAGTTTGTTTTTTCTTGAGTTGGCCAGTTGATCTGTTGTTCTAGTTTAATTGGTAGAGTCCCAAATAAATGAAAATCTTATCTGCTGAGGCAGGGGGCTCTAGGCACAGACCGCTGGCATCTCCAGGCAGGTCTGAGCAATGGCACCTCCCCACTGAGCTACAATAAAGCAAAGGCAGTGTTATGGGGAGCTGACCAAAAACCTGAAAACAGTGTAAACCTGTGGGTTATAAAGGACCAAGACTTTTTCTGAGATTGAATGAGCACAAACTGGGAATTGTATCTCTCACCCCAATTTGCTTCTAAGCTCATTCAGCTCTGATACAGTGGAACTGGGGCTGACCTACAGATCCTGAAACTAATCTATGATGTCATCACGCTGCTCTTTTCACTTATTTATTAACTATAAACTGAGCACCTTCTCTGTGCCGGGAACTGGGTAGGATACACTCTTGCCCTCAGGTGACACGGTTAGAATTGTGTCTGAGGAAAAACAGCCCAGGCTGGGGGCACGGAGACTCTTGGGGTGTGTTGTCCTGTCACCGAACAATCAGGGCTCCAGCAGAAGGGGGAGAAGCTCACGTGACCCAGTTTCCTGACTTAGGTGACTGTGGTCCCTAAGATAATCATGGGCCACCATTCTCCCCCCACTGTGGTGGTTGGTTTGACAGGAATTGGGCTCTGAAGGTTCAGAAGTCAATGCCTCTTTATTTTTTCAGGAGAGCTGCATTTCTCCTGGACCCCCAGGAAGAATGCCTCCCCCCGCAACCCGAGCACTCAGAGACCACACAGCAGACCTCCCTAACACCTGCTTTTCTCATAGTCCTGTACTTCTCGAGACCACAAGAAGTGCACACAGCAGGAAACTGCTTAGCAACTGCACGTAGGAAATGAGGATTCCAAAATATTACTGTGAGTTTCTTCCTCCCTACTTTGTTCTCCTGTGCTGTTTTCAGTTCTTCACAACTCAGGCACTGGTCCATCCCACAACACACTAACCACTTCTGCAGGCCCCGGGACGTGAACTGCGCTGAGGCCTGGCATGCCTTCCTGGGGGGCTACAGGTGGAGGTCCTAGGGGACTGCCCCACAGAGCCAGCTGGCCCCCAAGGGGAGCTCCGGGGGGTTGTGGCTCTCAGGCCCCTGGGGTTCTCTGGGGCTGAGCTGACCTGGCCTGAGTTCCCTTTACTCTCATCCCCTCACCTGTGCACTCTGGCTGCCTCCCAATGCTTCTATGTTTCCTCTCTTGGCGGGATGAGACCCTTATCCCTCACCCTTGGTCTCCGACCCTGTGAATATGCGTCACCATCTCCACATCCCTCTTGTTCCGCTGTCCTCTGTGTCTCTCCCTATGTCTCCCTCAGCTTCTTTTTATTTTGGACTCTCTCTCTCTCTGTGTCTCTGACTTTGTCTCTTTCTGTCTCTAAGTGTCTCCATCTCTCACTATCTCTGTATCTCTTGGCGTTTCATTTCCCTCTCTTTCTCCTTTTCTCGTTCTTTCTGAATCCCTCTCTGCCTCTGTCCTCTTTCTCTCTCTACCCATCCCCTTCCCACTGCTGATCCCCCCTCTCTCTCTCTGGAGCTCAGCGACTTGGCTCCCGCTCCCCAAGCATGAAGTGGGCTCAGTTTCCAGGATAGCTAATAATGCACATTGAGGGTTCATTTCTCTTCCTCCCCATCAACTCTCCTTCCACGTCAGAATCCCCGAGTCTGGCCAAAAGTTCTTCCTAGGAAAGCATCCACGTGCCGTAGCAGAAGCCACCCAGCCACGCTGTACCCTGGGGAGCCCCAGAGAAGGGGGGTTCGTGGACTGCGGAATGCAACGTGCCGGGATTTCTCTGGCGGGGCTCCAGCCAGTCAGGGCCAATTAATATGAAATCAATAGGCCGCATCGACGTTTTCAGAAGTTAGCTCAGAAAAAAATCCCTGAAGATGAACCAGCCGGTGGCCTTTGCTATGAAATTGTTACCACACCACTTTCTTTTCTTTTGAAAGTCCAGATGGGCAGATGAATCCGAAGTGGATCACCCACATCTGTCATTCCCCCCGACAAATTACACCCCCGCCCACCACTTCCCTCTTTCCTCTCCAACATTCAACAACACTTGGAGTCTGGGTTGGATTGATATTTTAGGCCGCACTGTATGTTTTGAATTCCCCATTGTATTAAGAGGAACCGCATCGTCACCCCTCCGAGGCAAAGAGCTGGCACATTCTGGAAAGCTGCCTTTTCCCGAGGCGAGGGCTGCAGGGGTGCAGGGGACCTCTTCCTCCCAGGTTCGGAATGGGCCAACAGGAAAACCCAGCCCCATCAGCTCCTTGCTCTACTGTTCAGCACCAGCATACTCAAACCCAGAAAGCTTAGGTGGCTCGTCTCCATTTACAAAGCCCCCCCTTTTCTACATTTGCTAGGCAATGTAGTACCCTGCCCAAGCAACATGAGCTTACTCCTAAAGCCCTTCCCAGAGAGGGGAGGATGGAGGAGGAAAGTGGAGACGCCAGAGGGGTTCCTTGGATGAGTAGCTCTAATGTAGAATGTTCTGTGCTACTGGAATTGGGGGGGCTGGAGAGGGTGGGGGTTGAGTCAAGCTTGAAAAGTTCAGACTGGCATCCCAGAATGCCTGTCCAAATGGGTTCTTGGGACAAGGAGGACTTGCAGCAGGTGTCAGAAAAGCTTGGGAAGCCCCAAATCGAGCCAGTGTTGGGAGCACAGTGTTGGGAAATGCTCTGGAGACTGATGTCCACACTGGCTTTTGAGTGTTTCACGGGTGGGAGACACAGGGGTGTGAAAAGGTTGGGGACAGATAGAATCTTGAGCAAAGTCAGGAGACTTCTCAAGCCTCAGCCCTTGGATTCCAGAACATGTGTTCCTCAGGTAAAACAGTGTTTGCCTGTTTTCTTATGAACAAAGCAGCCAAGTGAATGTCCATTTATTTCAGGTCAGGGTCACCTACTAAGAGCTGAATTTCCCATTTGAATTATTAAGAAAACTATAGGAAAATGTTCTATTTTGTGTGAGCTGGGACTCTTGGCATGAAAAATAAAAATCATAGAGTCAATCCCCATGCTGGAAGATATTTAGCGGCTGACTGGTCCATCCTCCTGGTTCAAGAGACGAAGACACAGAAACCAGGAGATGAAATCACCCCCATTCTTCAACTCTAACATTTCAAGTTTGGCCGTGTGGTTGTGACTCTTCTTTGCACCGTGCTCCAAGGACCCAGGGAATGAAAAACCCAGGTGTTCCCTGCCTAAACTGGTGCTCTTGGGGTTTGAGGCTACAGTGATGGTTGCTTGAAAGGTTGAGAGAGCCTAGACCTACAGAAAAGTGTTAGGTTTGTAGGGCTGTGTCAGCAGCAGCCCTGGTATGTTCCGAGCTTCTGATGCTGGTGTCCTTCCTGGATTTCCCTGACCCCCGCTTTGCTCCTGACAAGACGCTCGGGTAGCGTCCCCACTCCCTGTTCTCTTGCGTCCTCCACAAGGGACCCTGAGAAGCCCTGGGTGTGTCAGGAGCTTGCTTGACTCTGCAGACTGAACAGATCTGTCCCCTTCCTTGCCTGGCCTGATTCTAGAGCCTGCTGCTTCATCCCTGTCTTACTGTTGGTTTGAACTGGACAGTCTGGGCAGTCGTCCCTGATACATATTCAAGGCACGCTGGCATCAGGCATCATCTGCAGCGCGGTCCAACCTCAGTCCCCACCCCCTCCTGTCACCCACCAATTCATGCACACACACACACCTAGGTGCACCTTTTACAGATAAGCAAGCAGAGTCTCACAAAGAGAAGAGACTTGCCCAAGAGGACACAGCCTGTTGTGTCAGAGTTTTGGCTCAAGGTAAAGACTTCGCTATACCAAGCTACCTGTCCAGTTTCCATCGAACTTTCATGAAGACAACCTCATTGGGTTATTATTTCCAACCTACAATTTATGGAATCACAATTATAGTGCCAGTCTAAATGTTAAGTGACATCCGCAGAAGAACAGCAACGTCAAGCCTGGGTCATTTCCTGTAACTGCCAAGTAACAGGAATCCCAAAAAATAGTTTTGAGAAATGTGAAATGCTAAAAAGCCAATCTTCACAAAAGGGTCCCTAGTACCAGGTCCTGTGACGAGCACTTCTTGCGCAACTCTCTCACTCCTCCCGATAGCCCTGTGAGGTAGGTACAGAGGGTTCCTGACTTACGATGGTTTGACGTACGTTTTTTTGACGGAACAATGGTGCAGAAGTGATACACATTCAGTGGAAACCATACTGTGAGTTTTTCATTTCCCCCAGGCTAATGATATGTGGTGTGCTTGTCCGCTCTGAGGCTGGGCGGCGGCAGCCACAGCTCCCAGCTGGGCAATCACAGGGGCAAAAGCCCGGGAAACTCACAACCATTCTGCACCACACGGCCATTCCGTTTATCGCTTTCAAGACAGTATTCAACACATTACATGAGACAGTCCACACCTGATTACAGAATAGGCTGGGTGTGAGATGACTGCCCACGTGCAGGCTACCACGTTTTTCGCACATTTAAAGTAGGCTAGGATAAGCTCTGATGTTTCGGACATTAGATGTATTCAAGGCAGTTTTGACTTACACTCTTTTCAACTCACAATGGGTCTATCAGGACGTAACCCCATCGTAAGCCAGGAAAGATCCGTACTAGCATTTTTCAGCTTTATGGATGAGGAAACTAAGGAATGCGGAGATGAGGATCCTTGCCCGAGACCACACTGCTGGTAAATAGCAGGGCTGGAATTCAACCCAGGAGGTCTGGTTCCAGAGCCACACTTTTTGAAGTGCTAGGCTGGGCTGTCAAAAATGTTCTGGCAGCTGAAGAAATAGTGCAAATCAAATACACACAATTCGATTTGTTGAGAATGGCCACTAACCTCTGCATGGCTCCCTGCGTGTGACTTTCATCTGCTCTGTCCACAGTCTCTCGCTGGTGCTCGGACCCCCTGCAGGATGTGGGAGACTCAGAGATGGAACGTGACTTCGGTGGTCAGTGGCAGAAGCAATATTTGAGCCCCATCCAAATTAAGGACTGTTATTTCATGCCCATTTCGTACAAGGGGAAATCGAGGATGGGAGAGGCTGAGGTGGAGCCCTCGCTCTGCAGAAAGCCTGGCACGCCTATTTATTTGCATGCGGCTGAAGTGTGAAGTCCTAAGTCAAAGCCTGTCTCTGGGCTGAATGACACCGCCAGGTTATTGGACCCCTCAGACTCTTGTAGGGGTCTCCACTGCCCTCATGCTGGGAAGAGGAGGTTTGCAAACACCCAGGCAAACACTATAGGAGAAGAGAGTTTGAGAAAGGAGCAAGGTACAGCAAGAGCAGGACTGAGGACCTCTGAGAATTCAGGGTTCAGGCTTCCATGCACCCTTGATTTGCACACCCTTGGAGAAGTGTCCAAAGAAAAACAGCTCAGTCCTGCAGAACACAGTGTTTGCTATTGGTCAACACAGCTCTAATCCCAGCTTATCCACTCTGGAGTCTTGCTCAATTCATTTATAAAACAGGGTTGAAACGCTACCGGTCATGCTAGATGGTTCAGTGATTAAGTACGATGATACAGTATTTTCTTTTTTCTTTCTTTCTTTTTTTTTTTTTTTTTAAGATTTCACTTATTTATTTGAGGGAGAATGAGTGAGAGAGAGCATGAGAGAGGAGAAGGTCAGAGGGAGAAACAGACTCCCCAAGTTGCTGGGAGCCCGATGCGGGACTCGATCCTGGAAGTCCAGGATCATGACCTGAGCTG